TATGAAGTCTCTGACTGTTGGTTTAAGCCATGTAGGACGATGCAGACTAGGTGGTTGGGGTCCACGGGACAAGAGGAACCAGTGGTTGGAGACCCTAGGTGATATGGCTCAGAACCGAAGTCAGTGGCGCAGATGTATACACACATTATCCTCATCTTAACAACGCTATACCGAATCTCACTATTTTGTCACTCCTCTTTCCTTTCTTCTCATACTTTATATTTCTTTTGACTGCATTCACTTATCTTCATCCTTCACCTCACTACCTTTTTACTTGATGTGCTGATATGAGGTGTGGCAACTCGGACCGTTACGCAGTAATGCCTGGTCCTATGTTGATAATGATGATGATGATGATAATAGTGTTATTATATAATTATTATTTGTAACTTGGGTTCTTAGTGAAATGTAGGGCTTCAATAGCACGTCTCCATTCCACTCTGTTCTCTGCTATCTTATGAACCTGGCTCCACAACTGCCCACAAGCTCTCATTTCTTCCTCACACCATCTCCTCCATGACATCCTTGCCTCGGACGCCCAACTCGACGTTTCCCATCTGGGTTCCACCCGAGTCCCTGGCCTGACGCATGATGTCCCCGAATGGTCTTTTCAGTACATGCCCAATCCATCTCCACTTCTTTCTGAATGTTTGTTGAGCGATGGGTTCTTGGGTGGTTCGTTGCCAGCCAGCCAGCCAGAGTTCCTTGTTGCTTATTCTTTCTGGCCATCTGATCTTCAGTAACGAGCCAGCGTAGGCAGTTGTTGATGAATGTCTGTAGTTTGTTGGAAATACTTTTCGTAACGCATCAAGTCTCTCAACCATATAGGAGCACTGACTTGAAAATCTGCATCTTGTTCCACATGCTGAATGCAGATCTCCACACTGATTTCAGGTTAATGAACGTCTGTCTTACTTTTCCGACCCTGGCTGGGCTTTGACGTCCTCGTCTGTGCCACCTGTAGTTGAAACGATGCTGCTTAGCCAGATAGGTGAAAAAGGCAACTTCGTTTAAGTTTCTCCCGTTGATGGTGATTGAAGCTTGTTGCTGTTGTTGTTAGTGGTGGTGGTTGGGTATCTTCATCACCACTGTCTTCTCTACGTTCACTTGAAGTCCCGTCTTCCTTCACCGCCTCTTCTGCAAACTGGTTAGTTTCCTCCTGTAGTTCTTCGAGTTTGTGCGACATTAGACAGTCATCGGCGAAATCCAAATCATCTAGGATCGTTTTCCCGGCCCAGCGTATCCCCCTCTTCTCGCTCCTCACGGTTTGCTGCATGACCTAGCCCATTACAATCAGGTAGATCATCAGTAATAGCAGACAGCCTTGTCTTACTCCTGTCTTCACTTCAAAGCATCACTGAGCTTCCTATTGTAAATTACTTGGCACGTGGCATCTTCATATAGTTGTTTGATGAGGCTGATAAAGGTCTGCGGTGTTCCGTAGTGTTGGAGCAGATGCTAAATTACTTCTCGGTCGACGCCGTCGACGGCCTTTTCAAAGTCGATGAAGTTGAAGTAGAGTTGACTGCCATTCTATAATCTGTTCTATGATGATGCAAAGCGTTGCAATTTGATCCGCACATAATTTGTACTTCCTGAATCCAGCCTGTTTCGGTCGTAATTTTGAATCCAGCACATCCTTCAGTCGGTTCACGATGATGCGGCCTAATATTTTGCTTGGGGTTGACAGTAATGTAGTATGACTCCGCGCCAGTTCTTGCAAAGGCTTAGGTCTCCCTTCTTTGGAACTTTGACAAGGTAGCCCCTTCCCTTAATTCAAGACCATCTGCAACAGTGGTGTGAGCATGTCCGCTGCTGTCCCTGCGTCTGTTCTCGGTGCCTCTAGCAGGATTCTATCTGACACCGCTGCTTTCCAGCATTTCAGTAGCCTTTTGGAGTACAGGACTACGACTATCGTCGGAGGGCTTGTCCTCACTTGTAGTTCTGTGGCCTGTGAAGGCCTTCAACTTGATTTGGAAGGTTCCCTGAACTAGACAGTGGTCTGAGCCTACTTCTGCTCCCCTTCTTGATCTTGTGTCCAGTAGACTGTGTCTCCACTTTCTTGAGATTGAGATGAAGTCAATTTGATTTTTAGTGTGTTCACCTGGTGGAATCTATGTCTCTGCCTTGTGAATATCCTCGTGTTTGTACACACTGCCTCGCCTCCAATCACCAAATCGTTAAATGCGCAGAACTCTCCAAACAGTTCTCCGCTCTCATTCATTTCATCGAGTGCTTCTCGATCCATGATGAGTTCTGTTCTCTTCCTGTGTTGTCTGCTCCCAGTTTGGCATTCATGTCACCCATTAGAATTTTGATGTCGCCAACTAGGGTGGGGTCTTGTCCATTACTGATTGCAATTGTCTGTAGAATTCCTCCTTCTTTTCTTCATCTGCATTATTTGTTGGCTCGTAGCATTGAATGATTGCGACTTTCCTTCCTTTTGAGTTGAATCTTGGTGTCATGACTGTGATCCTGCAGGAGGAGATTGGTTCTCACTGCATGAGAGAGAGCCTTCGATGTTCTTGGCGACGTCATGATAGCCACCCGAAAACTCAGTGTGCTCGTGGTTGTCATCTAGGTGTCAACATCGCATTAGATTATTGACTCCCCAGTTGACAGTTTGGAGAGTCCACTTCCATTCCATCTGGTCTCGCAGATTCCTAGCAGTTCTATTCCATACCTTCTCATCTCTTTTGAAATCTGGCCAGCCTTGCCAGCCAGCTTCAAACATATTGCGGGCATACTATGACTCCATGTTTACTTTTGCTTTCATCAAGAGAGAGAAGACAAATCGGCCGACTGGCTTTCCGAAGGCTTTCACCAACCGGCGTCATTTCATCTCTCCGATTCCTGTGAGGAATAAGTTTGTTTTTATTTTGTATATTTTCTTTGTGCTTAGAAGTTTCTCTAGTGATTGGATTGGATTAACGGGGTAGGGTTGCTAGTCCTATGCCCAACCTTCCCTCTTTACCAGGTCTTAGGACCATCTAGTAACTAGGTAACCAAGCGAGGTTGATAATAGTATAGCAATTGCTAAATTTGACAGGTCCGACCTGACACTAGTTGTGCGTTAGCGGAATTGCCATATCAAGAAAGCATATCAGAAATTTTACGTAGCGATCCTGGCATTAGGGTGTCATTAAAACCTACAGACTTACTAAGAGAAAAAAACGTTTTGCCCTAAAACTTCCGGATAAAATAGAACCCAATAAGATAAGTAGTTTGGAGAAAAACTCGGCTATGTGGACACTGACTCACATTCATACAAGAAGGGATCGGGTGGGGATTCTAAATTCCAATACGGTAAGGGTAAAGTAGACATTGATTACGGAATTCAGGATCATAGGATCAACACTGAACCATGTAAAATATGTTAATGCCATCAAAACAAGTGAAGTTTTAAAGAAGTATGATTACTTTAATGTGGATATGAGAACTAAAATCCCGTCGAAATAAAATCAAATAATAACGACGTACCACATTGCGGGAAACGGAGAAAAAATATTTAATGGGGATTTATATCAAGCCACCTTGCTCAGACCTCACTGGTATTTGTAGAAATTTTGTCGGTGACTGGTATACAACATCTCATCAAACTTCCGAAATCAATAAACTGGTCAGCCATTTCACTCCCTACTCTCTCTTACACCACTCGACAATGCACATCAATCGGGAAGCAACAATTTGTACCTAGATAGTGAGAAACGCACCACAAACCTTATCGAAGTATCACCAAACGTGTACAGAATACTCTGCATCCTGTTAGTGTCTTCACCTAACACCACTGGCTATGTCATCTGTGTACAATAAGTTTACTAAGGAGTCCCACACTAGGACGAAACAGCTATCCAGTGCTCCCAGGTTTCCAACACTTCTCTAAATGATCCCAATCTATGGTGAGTACCAACTTAAAATCTCGACAAACTTCCAAATAGAATAACAGAATACAAAGCTTGACTCAATCTTGAATAGTAGACGCGAGTAAAATAAGGCGAATTGGAAAAAGCTCAACTATAGTAATGTGATCAATCACACGTCAAGATGAGACAGAGGGACAACCCTAGAAAGTAACTTATCAGAGTCCAAGGAGATATTAAAAACCTAAGCTTTTTTTATCGAACTAACATCGAATACTTTGAATATCTAATCCAGACATTTGGAAAATGCTACTACCCATTGTATAAATGAAGAGAAAGAACTAAACAAACAGGATCGGAAAATTTTGGAGTCTCCTTTGATAGAAAACGAAACCCGTTCAAACATCATCCAGTAAGTAATACTGTTTCACTGTGTTGAATATCCAACAAACAAACTGACATGAAACTCTTTATAACCTGTTTAACACCGCAAAATGAATTTTCACTGTGTGATAAATAAGACCCAATCACATCTAAGTAGTTATCAGATTTAGACAAAACTAAGACCTCGTATTATTCGTTAGTGTAGAGAAATATAGCAAAGGTTTAAAAGCCTCCTTTTATAAAAACGTACATCATATTTTATGATGTTGAGGTAAGACGAAGGGTACTAGGCAAAATAGGCAGGTTGATTGATGAGGTTTTGAACCTACAACGGTTGGGATGGCTTCAACAGGTACTGCGCATGCTGAGCCACCACCTACCTCAATGTCCCATGTTAGGGGGAGTTGGATAACGTTGAGAGAGGGTTTACGGCGGCACCAGTCAATAAAGCCCCTAATTGTTGGTCTGAGCCGTGTGGATAAACGAAAACAATCTGATTAGGGTCATCAAGAAGAAAGAAATCAGTCATTGATGATTCTTGGTGACATGGTTGAAAACCAGTCACAATGGGGCAGATATATTCACTCCTTATCATCCTCTTAAGCTTGAATATTGGCACTAACCGTTATCTTCATATTTTTTATCCTCACACACTACTTTATCTACTTTGATATCACTCCTTTTCTATTCAGCTCTTTTTTGTGTACTACTGTAAAGTATGGCAACTTAAGCTGATGCACATGTGTGCGAGGCTCTGCGTTGACTTGTCAGTCAGCCACGTTGTATAAAAAGCAGGTTGTAAGAGCGGTCTGCACATACTGTACAGAAATTATTAATAATAATAATTTTTATTTTCCATTTTTAGTGAATACAATCTGTACATTATTGCTTCATTTAATCACAGTAATAAAACTGTCAAGCACTGAAAGGTCAACTTAATGTTCAGTATTTATTTAAAATTCATTTCTATCCTGATAGAAGAAACACTGGGTGGATTACGAACCACAGAAAATTAAGTTACACTTGAAAACAGATGAACTGCGAACTGTGGTAGGGCAAATTGATATGACTGAAAACGATCAAAACTCTTTTGGCGGTATCAGTACATCAAGAACAGATTTTAGACGCTTTTTAGCCAACTTTTTCTTGGTTACTAAGGCTTCACTTGGTCTGCATAAGGTTTCCACATAGTTTTTCTTGGCAGAAGACTTTCGTTTCAACTTTTCCTCTGCTTCTCGTACACCAAGAACTTCTTTGATGGTAAACATCTTGCGCTCGAAACGAATGTTCTGCTTCTTTGCTTCAATGCGCCCGGGTTTTGATCTACCTTTCCCCTTGTTGCGCTTAACAACAGGAGTATCTACTTTTTGAGTTTGTCCTAGCTAAAAAGATAAGCAAAGAAAAAATGTGCTCAGAAGATGCTATCAAAACTATTTTGAATATGGGTTAAATGATTCCAATAGATATTCAAATTTGACTCAACATTTATAAACACGTGCATGAGTTGCCCGTTATATTCCTCCGTCTTTCATTGTAGGGGTAATCTTATGTTACTCTACCGAAGTCATTCAATAATCAAACTAAAATTACTTCAAGGGTAGTCGTCTGATTCCGTTTTACGTTTACAACTGTGATATTTTCCATACACGGTGTGTTCCTAAATACTAATAACAGGAGGAGTAAGACTGATGAAAAGTAAGTTGCATAAGTTTTTGGAATGTTAAAAAAAATGCACACAAACAAAATAGGTGTTCAAAATCACCACACCGAACAATTGCATCGCGTGATACAAATTACTTAAGTTTTTTATGTGGAACGAATGCCATTTTAAAAACAAAACACTAGGAAGGTTAGTTTATAAAAAAGTGAAAGAACAAAAAAAAGAATATCCCGCTAAATATTATGAGAGTGAGTCAGTCAAAGCATATTTTGTGACTTCATTGAGGTCGAAAACAATTCGACTATATATCTTCATGAGTTCCTCAGCAATGGACGGCTGCAATAACCTGAACTGTGAACGCAACAGCAGCTTTCGCAAGTGCACTTTCCCAAAACACGAGAAGACGGCGAAATAACAAAAGTGATGGACTATCAATGTGGCAATCATTATGTGTGGGTTTGTTTGTGATACAGACATAGATTCTGTGCTGCATCACACACACTAATAGCCGATATACCCTACAAATACCACTCCAAAAACCAACTTCCAGCAGTAACAACTTCGGTCATATTACAACATGAATTTTCTCAAAGGTTTACCCACGCCCTCCCACCTCGCCAAAATGTTAAGATACACACACAGACAGACTTTACACCAACCTCCTGTTCTCGATGCTCCATTACCATAGCTTCCCTCACACATATAATTAGTACAGAATAAAAATCTCAGACACAATGTTCGTCATACTCATACCTTTGCGGTCATCACAATTCGAGTCACCTCATTTCTTGATGACTCGGACAACCAGTGAGTAAATGCAGTCAGAGGACATAGTATTTTACTAGCATAGGCTAGCTAACACTTCATCTAACCCCATCAATAATTTTCAACCACTGTGCGAAAATATCTCAGCCCCAGCTGCCTACTTGTGTTCAACGTTACTTACAGCTTATTCAAATTCCACAACAGTTGGAGACCCTATCTCAGTCTTACATCTAGCATCCGGAAGGACAACACGCAAGGAAACAGTACATAGATGTCAGTCAAACTATACACAGAACCTTCTCAAGCTAGTTCCGTTGATAAGTTTGAATAACTGTCGACTGTCACCTATCACTACCACCTCTTAAATGTCCTCAGTCTTCCCTCCCCACTAGTACTCACTGTCATTACGTCAACTTGTTGCCAGTCCATATTCGAGTCGCTTCCCATACCCATTATGCTCCGAGCCCACACGAATGGATTCATGCACATTCATCAACTCAGACGTTGATGAGAACCACTGACACATTCTAAACTCTCTCCAGAGCCACCTATAGTCTTTAACGCTGTTTTCAAGGCAGACTGTAGACGGCATCATGCTTCCTCCAGATAAGTGACCGTGTCCCGTCCCGACTACAGTCTAACCAGTTCCTTCCTCACTCAAGGTAGCATTAATACCCACAATGACCAGCCCGCTTGCGATAGTATTGTTGCTCTCTTTTTCCTGTCTGTTCACGTCCAAACATGAGCATGTACAAACCAACGCGTGATAACTGTCAAAGCATTTTCCATCGACCCGTCACAGCATTAAGTAATATCGATGTCGTCCAACTGTGTCCACTGTTTAGTTCATCTCCGCCAACACCACCTCACACTATGTCTCCCTCTATTGCCGCACTTTGTGCTAGCCACCAATACATGACTGTCTGACTGACTCACCACACTTCTAGCAAGTGATCACCATTATTCCTTTGTTCGGCTCCAACTCCCAAAGTGACTTACTTAAACTTACAACTTGATCATGGCAATTGCCTGTTACGACAATCACATCCAAGACTTCGGCTTCTACTACCAGACTAGAGAGTTCTCGCACTTCACACACCATTCACTTCATTCAAACTCCAACCACTCGGTACGCAAGCACGCATTACAAAAAGACAAGACAACAGTGAGTCTCACTCTTCTCTTTAGTCCTCACTGCATCATTCAGTCGAACAGCACACAGACAACTCTCATTCCCCACACATTCAAGCAGTGCTGTTTCACCCATAGAACATAGTATCTGATATACCTACCTATACCTGGGACACTGCGACAAATAGCTGAATAATCTGCACAAATATGCACAAAGTAGATCGGATTTCAGAGATTCACTACGTTGGTCGGTTGAGACTAAGTGAATAACCACACTTGGGTTGTGTCTCTGAACCGTTAATTGATTTGCACTCTCCCCTCGATAACCATGCAAGATAGTGCTGAGATACGTTCAGTTCTTGAACATTTGGTCAACTTTGGACATAAAGCTAGACCAGAATCCTCCCTCAATGTCATTTATCGTGTCAGGTGGAATAGTTCAGAAGGAGTACGCCTTCGACAGTTGTGCACAGCGGGGGCACTGATAATTGATCAATTCAAGCCTGATCTCTGCGCGCAAAAGAAGTATGTTCAATCTCTCATCTTACTATGGTCTTGACACTTTCACTTTTTTCGATTCATCATAATTAATTAGTTTATTATTATCACCTTCCTTGACCCTTGTCTCATTCTTCACCTTCCTTACACCTATCTATCAAGCGGACACTCAATATTTGCGTTTCTTATCTACTAACAATTTTCATCTTGTCAAACTCCTTGCTTTCCTCGATATTCCTACTGTCTTAGTTTATTACGCAACTACTTTGCATTCTTGATTCCAGTTTTTTTGCAGCACTAGTTTAATAATGTAATTATACCCTGTTGTTTTATAATAGACTGTTATATGTTTATGATATATATAAATAAGATTGTACAGCTTTGGGAAATGATATCGTCGAAAAAGAGAATTTTCTTCGCTGAATTATCTCTTCTCTATGACTCAATGTTTCGTAGTATCAGCTACGGTAACTACATGGTATTTATAGCAAAACTTGTCTGTGTATCATACTGGGTACAGAGTTCAATTACCAGTGATTGCTAAATACTATCTGGAAAGAATCAAAATCGATAGTGGGATATTCAGGCACTTCGTGAATGAACGCGAACAATTACTGACATTTTGGTCAGACAAACTAACAAAGGTTGGTTAAAAAGTTTTCAATAATTAACATTTGTTAAAAGATTGTCACTGAGATCAATTTACTTTGCGGATAATAGTCTACAGTTCGAAATAACCAGTACTGTCTTTTACTGTCAGAGGAGGCGTAGACGTAAGACGCGATGTTGCCGAATCCAGATGCAAATTTATTTGAAAGTTGAGCCACCTATCAAAGATTAGCTGAGTGAATACTATAATCCCAATCGAGCATAGCTAAGTAACTTCCTAATTTATAGATATCCAAAAAATGTTAGAATTCAACAGCTTGAAGAAATTTGGGTATTGGGTAATTACTTTCGTAAAAGAATACCAAAATAATGAATAACTTCCTCCAATAGAAAATTAAATTCTGCTGCTAATTGAAAGTTCTGTTTATGATAACTTAGCTTCAGGTTGACTCAAAACTAAATCAATTTACTTACTAATGCAGCCTTCTTCTTTTCCCATTCCTCTAAAATATCCTCCCTGCGAACTTCCCCAACAATTGATTTCAGAGAAATCATTGTATATGGAATCTAAATAGAGTAAATAAGTAAAATTGGAGGATATAATCTCATTATATAGAAAATGAAAATAGCAAAGGTTACAAAGAAGGGAGACATAAGCATAAGCTGTCGCGGAATCATACTACACCCCTGTCAATCCCAAGCAAATTTTTAAGCCACATCAACCTGGAGAGACTAAACAATGCGCTGGATTCAAAATTATGACCGGAAGAGGCTGGATCAAATCGCGACGCTACGAATCATCATAGAACAGATTATAGAATGACAGTCAACTCTCTACTTCAACTTCATCGACTTTGAAAAGGCCGTCGACGGCGTCGACCGAGAAGTTATTTGCCAGCTGTATCAACTCTGCGGTTTTAGTGCCACAAACCTTTATCAACCTCATTCAACAGCTATATAACGACACCACATGCCAAGTGATCCACAATAGAAAGCTCAGGGATGCCTTTGAAGTGAAGACAGGAGTAAGACAAGACTGCCTGCTATCACTCATGATCTTCCTGATTGTGGTCGACTGGACTGGACTGGACTGGGCTGGGCTGGGCTGGATCACGCAACAAACTTTGAGGAGCGAGAAGATGGGTGTACGCTGGACCGATGGAAAGACCCCACAAGAAGATTTGAATTTCGGCGATGATGATTTATGTCTAATGTCTTGTCTCACAAACTCGAAGATCTACAGGCGGAAACCAACAGGTTTGCAGAAGAGGCAGCGAAGGAAGGCGGGGCTTCAAGTGAACGTAGAGAAGACAGTGGTGATGAAGATACCCGACCACCACCACCAGCACGAACAACAACAAGCACCAATCACCATCAACGGAAGAAATGTAAACGTTCTCTCTTCCATCTACCTAGGCAGCATCGTTTCAACTACAGGTGGCACAGACGAGGACGTCAAATACAGGATCGGAAAAGCAAGATAGATCTTCATTAATCTGAAATCAGTGTGGAGACCCACTGCACTGCACCCCACTCAGCATTGAGGACAAGATCCGAATTTTGAAAATTAATGTCAGTCAAGTCAGTGCTTCCACGTGATGGTTCAGAATCTTGGCACGTCACGAAAACATTTCCGATAAACTACAGACATTCATCAACAGCTGCCTACGCTGTCTCGATGCTGAAGATTAGATGGCCAGAATACTAAGAATAAGCAACAAGGAACTCTGTCTGGTGACGAACCAACCAAGAACCTATCACCCAACAAATATGCAGAGGTGGAGATTGATTGGGCGTGTACTGAGAAGACTGATTAGGGACATCACGCGCCAGGCCAGGTCCTCGAGTGGAACCCATGTGGAAACGACGAGTTGGGCGTCCCAGCTGAGGGTGACATGGAGGAGATAATGTGAGGAAGAAATGAAAGCTTTTGGGCAGTCATGGGGCTAGGTTGAAAAGACTGCAGGGAACAAAGTGCAGTGGAGACGTGCTACCGAAGCCCTATGTTCCATGAGGAACCCAAGGGAAAAATAATAATAATGATAATAAAGGTTCCTTTCAACAAAAACATCATCTGCTGAAGAAGCTGTTTATGCAGCAAAACTTTCAGAAATATCTTGCTTTGGCTTTTAAACACTCTGGGACTACATTAAATCATACCCTGACGATGAAAAATATAGTCTGCTAATCAATAAAAGCAGTGCAAATGTTTGTGTATGACTATCAATGCTTACTATAAGAAAATGATATCGATTGGGTAACCTGTAAGCTAATTAAGAGTTGTCTGTTAATCAAAAAGAAATTTGTTTCGGAACAGCACACGAGAAAACTCATAAAGTGTATGTTGGGAAATTACAGTTAATCTTGGCAAAATATTAAAACTCCATACTCACAAAGTTCATGAAATAGTTTCGACATTCTACTGAACTTTAGTTTATGTCGCTACTTCGGGTGTCCTCTATATTACCTTTCTATGTTTCTCATTTCAAAGGTTATTCTGCAGCTGACACTCTAAAGAAGAAGATACCAAACTTTTTAGAGAGAAAATTATTTGCATCAAAGCTGACACTTGTCTTTTCTTGTCCCCCAATGACTTCTAACAACTCAAAGGATAAACTTTAGTATCTGACCACCTCTATGTGCATATACCGATTCAGTTGCTCTTGTGGAGCCAGGTATATAGGTTGTTCGATGCGACTGCTATCCAAAAGGGTTCAGGAGCACTATCCCAAGTCGTTACAAAGAGGTAACAATGGAGTGATAAAGATTGCGATAATTGAACATATTGTGAACACGAGTCACCTTATCTCAAGAACCTCGTCGTTGAAAGTTATCTATGGAGTAAAAAGAAACTTTCCGAAGGCTGTATGTCTTCGTATTCTCTGCATCACAGAAGATCTTTCCATCCATATAGAGAAACCTAAACTTTATACTCAAAAGAAGATTGTCCAACCCCTTTCCCATCCATGGTTTTAACTTTTAGTCTTTGAAATCACCTCTGCCTTTTTTTGTCACTTTACTTCTTAAGTAATTTGCAATTCCTTTTTTGTTTCTGTACTCTTTCTGATCACGATTCAGTTTGCAAGTATGTCGTCAGTGCATAAAACTTCTTGTCCAAACTTATTATTCTTAATACAACTTCAGTCATATTTTGACCGGTATTCACTGTTCACAACAGTTTTTTTCCTTTTTTTGATTTTAATGGCAACTCATATATTGACACTTTTTTTGCAATGCTTGACAAACAGCTTGTAACTATCAAATCTTTACACGACAAAAATGTATAAATCTGCGATTATACAGCTTTGAGAATGAAATCGCCAAAAAGAGACTCTTCGCTGAAATACTTGCTTCTCATTTTCTCCCTCAGAACCTAGATTAGAACATCAATTATTTTATTCATCAGTATTATGCTATAAACTATTCACATGTGCTCGTCTGCTTTTTGCCTATCTATATCGGCTGACAGGGTGATTTCTTAGTTATCACTTGTCCGAAGACACAATTTGGTAGTAACATCAATGGCGATCCTGTCTACTAGTTGTCTCCCTTCGAGACTAGTCATTGATTTAGTGCGAGGTCGTTCCCTTCTGTCAAGCCTTTAATCTGTGGGTGATACAGCATAGTCTGTATCCCAACTGTTCCAGACAGAATTTGAATACTTTACTCTCAAAGTACGGGTCATCATCTGTCAATATTACCTTCTGCACCACGTGACCTCCAACAGTAAGAAAGATTGCCGCCTCCGTAACTTAGTGTGTCGGTCTGCAATTCCCACGCGTCCACTCAACGTGTAGCATGCTATCAACCTCAGCAGGTATCGGCTGTTGACAGCTGGTTGCGGAAACGGTAATTTTGTATCCACTGTCCATAGATTGCCAACTGCTGTTACTGGGACCCAGTACAATCACGGTCGCACGCATCAACTACGCTTTAGCAACTGACAGTCCAGACGTAAGCACATATTTGTAACGTAGGCTCTCTTATCCACCCATTACGCACTTTGTCGCAAAAGACCTTTTGTTCTTGCAATACCTGTGTGTGCGAGCTGGTAGCATTTGTGAGTCACTTCATGGTTTAGGACTTTCGGAATCACCGCTGTCTAACTCCCACATCCTTATCTCATCAAGTCACACCTCCGTACACATTCACCTTTAGTCTATTCCCCTGGCAAAGCAATCTCGTTGCTTACTTTTTTTTTGTAGACTCGTCAACTTATATTCCTTTATTTACAACTCAAATCACTGCCTGAAGTTCAGGACCATACTTTTGATGACAAACCAATTTCAATAGGTCTCTTCTCCCCACAACACTGACTGCGTATACTGCCTTGGAAAGCATAACTTCCATGTACCATCCAGATAACCCATCCACTGTTACAATTTCGTTACCTGGAATGTGCCCAATAGTGAAAGCATACTCTCGTAAACATAACACCTATCGTGATAACTTCGCACGGCGATCGCCTGCAGTTTTCAATCCCTGGAGGGGTTTATTTTCAGTCTCATTATGAAATCGACAACGAAGCAGGTAAGTTCTCCATTTGTCTAGCACCCAAAGAGTGGCTTAACATTTCTCAATCATATAAACCTCTCTTCCGCAGGTTTAGAGCACAGTAAACACACAATATAATTACATCTGGCTATCTTTCGCTAATTCTTTCTCATCTTTTCTTGCGACGTTTTACGACTATTGGTCACGCTTTCACTATTTACCTATCTTCCATAATGCTGTCTTGTACCCTGTGTTGAAACAGGGTGTGACGGAGTGGATAGTTACACAATATCAGTGTTAACTGACTGATGGGTCTATTAAGATCTTCGTTTTTTGTACCGAAGAGTGATGCTGGTTTCTACAGAAAATCATGTTCAGAACATTATATTTCAATAAACGTAACAAGAAACCTAGTGGATACTCAATGTTTTTACTTAAAACTATTGAAATACTCCTGAATCCAGCTTCACAAACCCATGTCTTTATCATATAAAAAGACATACGCAAATAATAATGATAGTGAAATGTAATCCACAGCTGAGAAAAACGTTTTAAGAATAAACTAAAGTGCAGCATAGTAGAGAATCAACGACCCTACTCACCATCACTCAGAACTCAATAGAAAGGACTTTTAACGAGATAAAAGTGTACTTCATTCGTGTGAATTACCTTATCGAGAAGTCTTTTAACTTCCCTTTCCTGTCTGTAACGTTTGTTCGCGAAAGGATTTTCTTCCAAAGCATCATAATTGGGTTCAGCGCTACCAGGGCAGAGGATCGAAGAAATTCCTGTGGAGCTACCTATCGCCAGTACATCTTCATAGGGACAAAAGCGTACACGATGAACTGGATGAACAGCATAGTGAGAAAGGTAAGCGCTAGAAAGTACACGTCGATTAACGTTGGGTAAAATATCTTCAAAAACCTTCGATACCTTGGTAGGTGGGGTTGAATGGGGGTCACGTAACACCTTCAAAAGAACAAAGACCATTAAGAAACTAAGACATTGAAAAATGGTTTTACTTTAGATCAGTGTAACAGAAAAACACTTCTAAATACAGGAATATCCACCTTATAAATAAAGGAATAATCAGTAAGTAGCTACGTTACATAGTGAATACTATTATTCCTTCTGAAATAAAATTAAGAAAGTAACAAGAGTGGTATAAAAACGATCAAAAATACCCACTACCGCATCAACTGAATGCAGAGTGCATGAAGAGGCATCATATACGTCCACAAAACCCACAGCTGGGACTAGAACACCAAACACCTTGAAGTGTGCACGATTATAGAAAGCATATTTCTAAAGATTTACGGTCGAATACTTACCTTAAATACAGAGTACTATATCATATAAGCTTAAAACCATGTTATAAAGGCATAAACCAATCAAGTAAACCGAAGCAACACAAGTGTGAAATTGAAATCCACGACGCTACTCTGTCTCTAAATTCGTAGCCTAAAGGTAGATATATTCATTCACCAATGTAACAGATACCTAATTTGAAGTGGTAGTCCGGTTTGCATGTCACATTGACTCAACAAAGTGTGCTGGTTGAAACAATGTTTCTTTGAAATTCTATCATGACAGAAACATTCACTGGATAAATGCAAAATATGAAGCACTTATCATCATAGTATCAAAGGCTTATCTAACAGTCGGCGTCCGAGCAATAAGTTGTGCTGCTACCTGGACAAGGTCTGAGAGCAGTGGGGCGTCTCCCATAGATAATCACATTTCATTTAATCCTGAGTCTTCTAAGTGGAGGAGAGGTTAGGAAAGTGTGGTATAGAAAATTTCTAGTGTCCATAGCTAACCGACGCCTAATTGGAGCACGAGAACAGCAAACTCGGGAAGACCAACAAGGTTTCGAAAGTCAACGAGGGAACACTGATCACATTATCAACATACGACAGATTCTAGAACACAGGCATATCTAACGCTCAACGGCCGACACTTCTCATATATTTTGACCTGAGGGTGATATTTGACTTTGTCGATCATGAAGGATTGTAGAAGCCCCCGAGCAAGTATGAGATAGAGACAGAGAGAATTAGCGACAACCAGTGGCGCTTGACTCGGATTTCCACTGTCAGCAGTCCTACTTAACTTGGTCATAAACGTACTAATGGGCATAACCTTAGGTATATCTGATTTCACAGGGATTGACCTACTCCCTGGAAGCCATGACGTTGATTAGATGTATGCAGACGATATTGTCCTGCTAGATGACGACGGTGAAGAGATGGAGTGTCTTCTGGACGAATTAGGCAGAAATTTGAGTATGTTTGGCATGCATCTCGCTGGCCCCAGTCAAACGGAAGATGATGTCCTAGGACTGGCCAACAATTACTCTAAGTTTAATGATCAGGAGTGAAGTCGTGAAATGTGTCAACTAATTTACTTACCTTAGGAGTTGCATCAGCCCATCGAACGAGCTGATTGCTGACGAAATCTCACCTCGAATATAGAAGGTCCGTTTGACACTTACCAACTGGCGTCATCTATGGCACCCACTGACAAGATATCCGACCATCTATCAAAGGAAGAGAATACTGCACTGCAGTTCGCTCTGTCCTGTTGTACAGCTGTGAGACATGGCCGTCAAAAATGGAAGATATCAAGCGACAACAGGGTTTCGATTCCAGATGTCTTCGTAGCATTTCTCGCGTTTGGTGAAACCATTGCGTGAGCAATGTTGAGGTCAGGTAAAGGATACTGAGCACGACAAACAGGTTAATTGATGAGGTTGTGAACCTTCTTCGGCTGAGATGGCTTTGACATGTACTGCCCATGCTGAGTCACCATCTACCTTGACGTGCCATGATAGGGAATATTGAATTAGGTTGGAAGAGGGTTCAGTGTGGCCAGATCAAGACATGGCAGCAGTCGATGAAGTCTCTTACTGTTGCCTGAGACGTGCACGAAGATGTTGATTACCCGGTTGGGGTCCCCAAGAAGAAAGAAATCCGTGATTAAGGACCCTTAGTTGCATGAGTGAAAATGAGTCACAATGGCGCAAATGTATTCACTCCTTGACATCTTCTAAGCTTGATTAATAGAAATAAAAATTATCTTCAGATTGTTTATTGTCATACAACTTTGTCGATTTTGATATCACTCCCTTTCTATCCACCTGTTCTTTGTGCACTACTGTGAAGTATGGCAACTTGAGCCCATGAACCTGTGAACGAAGTTCTACGTTGATTCTATCAGACAGTGTTTGTCGGTCAGATATGGAAAATACCATACTCATCCCAATCTAAGATCCTCTGGTTTGGGTTTTATTAACCCGAGCGCAATACAATCAAACCTAAACCAAAAACTTTCAATAAAGTCGTGTGTGGTCACTCAAACAAACTTCCCTTCAGGTGTGCACTAAAATAAAGTTATAAAAAATTACACATCCAAAAGAAGCCACCTTTTAACATGCCGGTAATCGAGAAGAGCTAGTAGCCCTGACACTTATTTCGAAAACCAAGACTCAGATGATCACCAAAACACATTGTGTTAAAATGAAATCTGCAACCACGCCTCAGTGTGACTAATCATGCGTCATAGTTTACTACCTTCAGCTCTGTGGCTCGAACGATGACTCCAGTAAAAAGAAAAGTAACCCAAAGCAACCGAAACCCGGTTCCAAACTACCCACTGAAGCACTCAATGTCCACAAACCCCATCAAATCCGATAGCAAGTCTCACTAGCCAAAACTTAGGGAAATATCAGGTCATGTTGTGTGTGTTTGTGAAAAATGCATAGGAGACACAACCCAAGTGTGGTTATTCACTTAGTCTCAACCGACCAACGTAGTGAATCTCTGAAATCCGATCTACTTTGTGCATATTTGTGCAGATTATTCAGCTATTTGTCGCAGTGTCCCAGGTATAGGTAGGTATATCAGATACTATGTTCTATGGGTGAAACAGCACTGCTTGAATGTGTGGGAATGAGAGTTGTCTGTGTGCTGTTCGACTGAATGATGCAGTGAGGACTAAAGAGAAGAGTGAGACTCACTGTTGTCTTGTCTTTTTGTAATGCGTGCTTGCGTACCGAGTGGTTGGAGTTTGAATGAAGTGAATGGTGTGTGAAGTGCGAGAACTCTCTAGTCTGGTAGTAGACGCCGAAGTCTTGGGTGTGATTGTCGTAGCAGACAGTTTCATTGCACAAGAGGATAGATTAGGTAAGACACAAAGGAACTTACTAAAGTATTGTTTTGGAACCGCAGTCAAAAGATCAAATAACAAGTCACCTGTCTAACCCAGTGAGCCACAGCTTTATGGGTACCAACTTTACTTCAACTACCGACGTTTGGGTGGGCAGACAGTAGCAATAGCCCTCACACAATAGGTGACTCGTCGACCACTGTGTGAAAATGAGCGTCGTTGCTGACGTGCAGTTTTTTTCAAATATGTATTACATTTTAGTTGCACACTGAAAAAAGACCTGTGACTGTATGTTGAAAAAATTTTGGGTGAGGTGCTTTGTATTAAATGAGAGGATAATTCAACAACGAAGTTATTTATAGTTTTATTGGTTATTTTGGCTAGGCATTCAGGTTTTGAGAAATTTTCCAAACAGCTCCAAAGATGCGTTTTGGTGGTGATTCTAATTTACTACTACACACTTCAGAGATCAGAGGATATTGCCTCACTGTTTGATAATATGCAGCTAAATTGTATTTTAATTAATTAGTGGACACACCACGTCCACAAGCATAAGTTACGCCGTGTAACACCGAAATGTAAAGCAATTTTGCAAGATTACCGAGTGTCTATCAACGGGAGTAAATCCTGAGAAGTAGTAAGAATTTTCGTCAATATAAACAGTTGTTTCAATGATGGTGGTGCAACAGATTTTATTTTCAACAGCATACTGAATGCTAAGTGCCATACACTAATCTTGGTCGCTTCTGATGTCGTTTTAAGGACTGTTAAAGGTCGGATGTAGAATGCTTTCCTGGAAGTAGTTCTATCGCATGTCAGCAAGGACTGACCCTTCTGGTCAGATGTCCGTTATTTCCCTGCTGTCTTAGTAGGATCACTCACATTTTGGTGGTTCGGATGCAAAGTTGACAGCAAGTATTTCGGCATGATGCGTGTCGTCGCTCAGTTTGCGAAATTATCTTGAAGCAAAGGCTTTATATGATTGAACATGTTGCATATGTTGCTTCAATGGTTTCCATACCGTTCAAGATTTTTTAAACTTATAAAAATAAAAGGTTCTGAAAAGCGACGTTGTTGACTGTTTTATAGCTCCATCGAAACAAGAATACACGGGGGTTGAGTACAAATATGTTGATGCACCACAGCTCCTCGGTGAGGTTAAAACAACCCTGTACTTTAAGGCAGGTCACTTTTTAATTTTTCTTGTGGCATCTGTTTGTGAAAAATGATACAGAAGTGATAAAAAAATTTTGAAAGTATTTTTTATAATTAAGGTTTTTATCATGAAATGATGTCATTTGGAAAACCATTTGAAATCTAGGAGAACTAGGCGGTCGTTTCGACATTTCTGGAACTCTAAAGCAAAAATAATTCGACGGATCTACACAAACCAACAAACGAATTACTATACAGTGCTAACTGGTGACTTGCCTCCATCCATCCATCAAAATCAACATAGGACCAGGCATTACTGCGTAACGATCCGAGTTGCCATACCTCATATCAGTACATCAAGTAAAAAAACAGTGAAGTAAAAGAAGAAAAGGAAATTCAGTCAAAAGAGATATAAAGTACTAAAAGAGAGAAAAGAAGAATGAGAAAAAGGTGAGATTCGACAAAGTGTTAGGATGAAAATAATGTGTGTATACACCTGCGCCACTGACATCGATCCTGAGCCATATCACCTACAGTCTCCAACCACTAGTTTTTCTTGTCCCACAAACCCCGACCACCCAGTCTGCATCGCCCCACGTGGCTCAAACCAACAGTCAAACACTACATACATTGGTGCCACGTTTTGATTTGGCCGCCCCGAGCCTTTTTCCAGTTTGAACCTACTTCGGCTAACATTAATGACGAGCCAATAAGCGACTAGGCATACGCAATACGTGTACTAACCATCTCAGTCGATGAAGGTTCATAACCTCGTCAAATGATTTACCTCTACTCCCTAAAACTCTACACCTGACGTCTGCGTTACGCACGTGGTGACACCATGGAATACGGCCTATACTTCGAAGGCAACGGTGGTCAAACACCTGAAGCCAGCCTTCTCATGTCTTCCACCATCGATGGCCATGTTTCACAGACATATATACAGTAGAACAGAGTTGACTGCTGCGCAGTAAATGAGAACCTTAATAGACAATCGGATATCACGGCGGCGCCATAGGTGGAGTAAGTTGGTAAAAGCCAAACGAGCCTTTTGTATCCGTGCAGAAATCTCATCGGCCACTGAGCAACCAGGGCTGATCCACTACACTCTCTACTGTTAGCCGTGGCACTGCTGAAGACCAATCCTGGGGCAACAATTTGCATTTGGACGGTGAGAACCACATCCCAAACATTTTCAAATTCCCACTCAAAGTGTTCAGAAGACTCTTCGTATAGCCAGGTCTTCACCTAACACGACTATGTCATCTGCATATTCTAGATCTAACGAAAATTCTCCACCGATTAGGCCAACCTCTGTGTAATCAGGTGACGAGAGGGAAACCTCCATAAGAATATCTATGATAAAATTGAATAAGAATGGAGACAGTGGGCATCCTTGACGGACACCACTTGATGAGCAAAGCTCCCCGGACATCTCACCATAGGCTCTAACACGCCCACAAGTGTTCAAGTAGACAGCCTTCAAAAAAGGTGATGTACTTACTCGGCATGCCTTTCAGTGAGAGACATTGCTATAAGACTTCTCGATCAACGGGGTCGAATGCCGCCTTCAGGTAAAGGTCACTTGCCTCGGGAAGGATTTATTGAAGTTCCAAAGCAAAGTTGTGAATTATGGGGTCAACCAAAATGAAAGTGAAGTGAGTACTATATCGCGAATTCACAGAAGTAAGAGTTAGTGGGTCTTAACCCAATGGTTAAGTAGTAGCGCACCTGTAATGAGACCCGATTGTCTTGGGTTCGATCCTCCGCAGGGCTGTGAGCAAGCACTCCTGAAGAACTCCAAACTAGAACAGAACAGTTGTTCAGGGCTTCAAAGCTCTTAAAGGTTCCCCAACTCATGTCCATTAGTGACTAAAACTTCTTTCCAACCAATAAATCCCTATACACCGATAATTGAATTATCTTTCACATCCTTTCGTCTTCATAGTTTTATTAGATTTCTTTGTATAGCACATTTCTCGATATTTGATTTAAATCTTTGCCTAGAATAAATAGCTAATAACTTAAGTTTTTTAAAAATTTAAGAACTAAATTTCATTTTTCAGCTTACTAAGACTACTACAAAGACGTATAACTTCGCTTGTAAATTCCATATGGTTGTAAGTTACACTTCTCAAAGGACTGAGCGCACACGCTAAATTTATCCCTCCGTCAGAAACTACTTAGGCTGCAAATATTTCGGTTACGATTATGACTCAACTTGCCCTTATTTACTAGGTAAGAAGCATGAAACTCCCAGCAAAATATTACTTAACAAATCGGGTAGAGACTAATAGTCATGATCAAATGAATATACTTTCATACTATATGATTTTGGCAGATATTCGTACAACATGGGAATTCCGCTCAAAAACCGAAAAATAAAAGACCAAACACTATACATGACTGCAAAAGTCCTGATGCTGGGTAATATGAAGAAATAACTGATGATGATTTCGCATCAGGATGCAACAGTTTGCGAGTTATGTGAGGTACATGCTTGAAAATACACAGATGGTGTGAAAATACCAACTGACCAGAAAAACGTGCATACCTGAACAGTATTGGCCGCACCCAATGCCAATAAGCCCCGTTGGCTAAAATCAATTGTCGAAGCAGACACGGGTAAAAGGATTTCAGAAAGAGGGTCATAAGTAGATCTTAGGTCCCATATCTTTAGCTTTCGGTCAACTCCACAGGTAGCCAAATAGCTATGAAAGAAAGAATTATAAGGTGTTAGTCAAATGTGTCTAAACCACTCCGCCAGTTTCAAAGAGTATGGTTTTAAGAAAAGGCTTAGTTATTAAACATCTTCGTACTTACTGTAGATAAAAAAAGTTCATCGAACCTAAAGTGACTGACCAAAAGCCTTACAAAAGACATTCGAACAATGTACGGGCAAAAACATCATCCACCAATGCACTGTGCACCGAGACTAAAAGTAAACTTACAGGTTTAGCTTTTTTGGTTTGATAGATAGACGAGACCAGAAATATACTTCAAAAAAACAAACTGATTAGAAAACTTAAGTTCAAACAAATCTATTTATTAACTCAAACAAGAAATGTATTCTCCATCAATACAAAAATAGTCGACAAAGAGCACTAAAGGTTCATATGAAAAGCTAACTCATAAAGTCAGGTACGAAGCGACAAAAAAGTGAATTAAATGAGTCTTCCGAGATGACAACTATTGTACGGTCTAACCAACTCTGAATGTTATTTATCACAAACACAGTTATTAGTTTAGATCCACAACTAATACCACATAACCTTATGAACAGTTAACTAAATATTAGGAAAATCAATTATTTGCTTTACCACAATCCACTAAACACAAATAGAAGGGAATGAGTCCTAAAGACAGTCATCGTCTAGCATATGAGACACATAAAAGGCATTTAACTACATTATCTACAAAATGAAATCTCACGACAGATAGCTAAAACTGAGATAGCTGGTAGACTTGCTACTGATGATGTAAAACATGGTTGGTTTGAAAGCACATTTACTTAATAAAACCGGAAAAACCACTGTGCAGTGAGTGTGAGGACCAATCGGTTGGCTTAAAAGTACGAAAAACATTAAATGATTGAAAAACTCGAAAAAAGTGGTGGCAAAGATATAAAACAGTAAGAAAAGATTATTATTGCAAGATTTTGTGCATACGAATGATTACTTAGTGCCTCAAAGTACTACCCTACCTAATACAATGCACGCAAATCAGTTAATGAGATTGTTGAAGCAGCGATATAGCGGCTGGAATCAATAATCATCCTCTTTGACAAGGAGAAAATTGGGATTCAGTACGTTGACGACACATTTGCAATTCTCGCGGAGGATGACATAGAAAACATGTCCGAACCAACTAACTAGACATTTGATGGAAGTCATTTCATAAAGCAGGAGGAAGCTAATAACAAAATTTTGTTATGAGGTATCATCCACAGAACGCACGATGAAAATTTAAACGCATATTTGTACAAAAAACCATACACAAATTTTGAACCGCAACAGTAATCATCTTAAAGTCAATGAGAGAAGTATAAAACACCTATCTCAAGAACCGAAACGCATTACAGCACTGAAACAATACTGAAAGCTGAATGGCACACAAGCCAACAAAGCAACAGAGAGCAGGATATGCATCCTAGAGGAATACAGGAAAAGCATTATCTACAAAAGCAACTGCAAAGATTGGTCACAACATAACGTTAGTTGGTATGCTGTCAGATCGCTCTAAGAATTCATGAACAATGACTAGTAGTAAAGTGGCACGACGCAGCCTCCTTGGTTTTAATCCATGTAGACTATTATGGTCATAAATTAGACGAGAATGTGGAAATCCTCCAAAAAGGTAGGTTAAGAAGTGTAGAGAGAATTTGTAGAAGCATGGTATTCCAAAAAAACGTTAATGAACAAACAGGTGTATACAGACCCAATTTATAAGCTACTTAAGAAAAAACAGTCAACCAATTGCAAACCGGTCAAACAAACAGTATGATAGTAACAAATAGCATACAGGACCCAAGTGTGGTTATTCACCTGACCTCTCCTGACCAATCTGGTGAATCTGCAAAATTCACCCTTCGAGTTTCTGGAGATTCGATAGCTAGCTCTCGTGGTCTTGCAGGTGTAGGTATAGCATTAAGCACCAGGGCAGAAAACTCACTACTAGACTGGATCCCAGTTGATAGTCGCCTCTGCGCTATGAGGCTGAACGGCACAGTGAGAACTAAAAGGAATAGTGAGACTCGCCGTTGTCTCTTTGTAATCTCTGCTTACGCACCCACTGACTGTAGTTCGGATGAAGTGAAGGACGAGTTCTACCATAAACTGTCTAACCTCCTCTCGAAAGCCAAACGTTCGGACGTAGTGGTTGTTGCAGGTGACCTCAACGCACAGGTGGGTAGACTGAGTGAGGCAGAAAGGCACTTAGGTGGCACTTTCGGAATCCCAGCTGAACGTACAGATAACGGTGATCGCCTATTACAACTATGCTCAGATAACCGCCTATTTTTAGCCAGCACAAATTTCAGACATAAAGAAAGGCACTGTCTGACCTGGCGTCCACCGAGCTCGACTCAGCGATGGACACAGATAGACCACATTGCTATTAGTCATCGCTGGAGAGGATCGGTGGAAGACTGCCGCTCCTTCTGGAGTACGTGTTTGGACAGCGATCATGCGTTGGTCCGAGCACGTATATGCCTGCGTCTCAATGGACGTAGAAAAAATTTGGCAACAAAACCACTACGAGTTCTGCTGGACAACGAAAACACCAAAGCCGTGTTCAGTGAGAAGTTGGCTAGGCAGTTATCGGAACAAAAGACTGTCACTCATCCAGAAGAAGCTTGGTGCCATCTTCAGTCTACTGTAAAAGCAGCACTGGAGACTGTAGCCGACTCCAAGATAATGGCTAAAAAGAGCCAGTGGATATCAGCAGCTTCTTCCAAACTAATGGATGCACGTGAATGCATCCCTGCAGGCTCTGAGTACAATGAAGAGCGAGCGCAACTTAAAAATAAACTGACGAAAAGTCTGCGCAACGATCGTGAACAGTGGTGGGCAGCAAAGGCTAAAGAGATGGAAAAGGCAGCGGCGATCGGTAACAGTAGACAGTTATTTAGACTTATTAAGGAGACTGGGGGGAAATGGTCAACAACAGTTAGTGAGGTTATAGCGGAGAAGGACGGATCGGCGATTCACTCGCAGGGAAGGCGACTGGGACGATGGGCAGAACACTTTGAGGAACAGTTTAACTGGCCTCCAGCCACCATTGCGCTGCCCGCTATCCAGTCGGACCCTGAATGGGACATAGAGACAGGTCCCCCAACACTAGAAGAAGTTGAGAAAGCGGTAGGTAGCCTGAAACGGGGAAGGGCAGCAGGACCAGACGGACTACCTGCTGAGGTATACAAGAATGGTGGTAGAGTTCTCTTAGTCAGGCTAACGGAAGTGTTAGCCAGTATATGGGAATCAAATACGATCCCCTCCGACTGGTCTAAGTCACTCATCATCCCAGTCTTCAAGAAAGGCGAGAAGTCCTCTTGTGATAACCACAGAGGAATCAGCCTGACAAACATAGTGTCTAAGATCCTAAGTTCTATAATTCTCCGACGCCTGAGTGGAGCTCGGGAACAGCAAGCCCGAGAAAACCAGGCAGGCTTTAGACCTGGCCGTGGATGTATCGACCAAATATTCACACTGCGCCAGGTCCTGGAACATAGGCATGCTTACAGACGCCCGACAATAGCTGTATTTCTCGACCTGAAGGCGGCATTTGACTCCGTTGATCGAGAAGTCTTATGGCAGTGTCTGTCACTGAAAGGCGTGCCTAGTAAGTACATCACCTTATTGAAAGCTCTCTACTCGAACACTTGTGGGCATGTTAGAGCCTATGGTGAGTTGTCCAGGGAGCTATACTCATCAAGTGGTGTCCGTCAAGGATGCCCACTATCCCCATTCTTATTTAATTTTATCATAGATATTCTTATGGAGGTTTCCCTCTCGTCACCTAATTACAAAGACGTTGACCGGACCACAGGTGAATTTTCCTTAGATCTAGAATATGCAGATGACATAGTCCTGTTAGGTGAAGACGCTGACAAGATGCAGAGTCTTCTGAACACTTTGAGTGGGAATTTGAGAATGTTTGGGATGCGATTTTCACCACCCAAATGCAAATTTTTGCTCCAGGACTGGTCTTCAGCGGTACCGCGGTTAACAATAGAGAGTGAAGTGGTTGAGTGTGTTGACCACTTCACTTACCTGGGAAGTAGGATCAACTCCGGTGGGTTAGTTGCCGATGAGATTTCTGCACGGATACAAAAGGCTCGATTGGCTTTTGCCAATTTGCGCCACCTATGGCGCCGCCGTGATATTCGTTTGTCTATTAAGGGTCGCGTGTACTGCACAGCAGTCCGCTCTGTTCTACTGTATGGCTGTGAAACATGGCCATTGAAAGTGGAAGACATGAGAAGGTTACAGGTATTTGACCACCGTTGCCTTCGTAGTATAGGACGTATTCCGTGGTGTCACCATGTGAGTAATGCAGAAGTTAGGTGTAGAGTTTTAGGGAGAAGAGGTAAGTCAGTCGACGAGGTTGTGAACCTTCATCGACTGAGATGGTTGGGACACGTACTACGTATGCCTAGTCACCGATTGCCTCGTCACACAATGTTGGCTGAGGTGGGTTCAGGCTGGAAAAAGGCCCGAGGTGGCCAGACTAAAACATGGCACCAATGTATGAAGTCTCTGACTGTTGGTTTAAGCCATGTAGGACGATGCAGACTAGGTGGTTGGGGTCCACGGGACAAGAGGAACCAGTGGTTGGAGACCCTAGGTGATATGGCTCAGAACCGAAGTCAGTGGCGCAGATGTATACACACATTATCCTCATCTTAACAACGCTATACCGAATCTCACTATTTTGTCACTCCTCTTTCCTTTCTTCTCGTACTTTATATTTCTTTTGACTGCATTCACTTATCTTCATCCTTCACCTCACTACCTTTTTACTTGATGTGCTGATATGAGGTGTGGCAACTCGGACCGTTACGCAGTAATGCCTGGTCCTATGTTGATAATGATGATGATGATGACTTAGACATTCGTGTAACATTCGGATATGTTTCACGTCTTTGTGAAACCTCTACGACAAAATATCAAATCTTTGATAACGCTGAACCACTATTTTTCTGAACTACATA